TTTTTTTTTGGGAAAGAAAAATTAATTTCCCCAGGGGGCCCTTCCCCCCCCCCCCCCCCCCCCCCCCCCGCGCGCCCCTTCCTCTCAAAAGGCGCTCGTGGAGCTCGTGGCCGACCGTGTCTCTCGCTTCCACGCGACCGGCGGATTCGAGCGCCGCAGTATGCATGGCAGCCAGGACCGTTCCGTCGTCTACCACACCCTCGTCACAACCGGCCCGGGCGCTCTCACCGACGCGGCGCGCAACCACCCCGCCGCCTTCGCAAATGTGACGCGGCTTCCGCTCTCCGTCCTCTGGCGCACCGTGCGGCACGCTTCGATGCACTCGTGGCGCATGCTGGCCTCTCGTGCCGCCGCCGGCGCGTGAAGCAGCGTCGCTCCACACACGCATGGCTGTGAGTAGGCACCCGGGCCTCTCGTACGCGCCGGGCGCCCCCGCGCCGACGCCCGCGGCGGAGGGCGAGCCCCCGCGTGCCGCACTGGCACCGACCCGCAAGGACCGTAAGGACCGCAAGGACCGCAAGGACCGCAAGGACCCCAAGGACCACCCCTCGCACCACCTCCACCCGCACCACTTCGTCGTGGCGAAGGACCACCCCCACCACCACCACAACCGACACTTGCGCGAGAACCACAAGAACGACCTCCACGCCGAGCGCATGACGCAGCAGTACCCGGACCGGGGGCGGAGGAGCAAGCAGCAAGGCCAAGGGCGGAGGAGCGCCACGCCATTTGTTGTTTGTTTGAGATTCAGAGAGACAGAGAGATGTTAGCAATACTCACACATCATTTGGCTTTTGGGGCCTGGAGCCCCCGGAGACTGCGCTTTAATATGGTTCATGGTTGTTTAAAGTACGTTTGGGGGGGGGGGGGGCAGATTTGGGCGGTCGACTTCAATTTTGGGGTCGAGCGCGTCGCGCACACGATAAAACGTGCGTAAAGGGGAAGGACCCTGAGTTGCACAGGGGTTGTGCCCCCAGGCCCTCCTGCTCGGCTCCAGCGAGTAGACAGAAGTGTTGTCATCAACAGAGTAGAAGGATCTGACCTCGGGGCCGATGTGACCAAGCGCTGGTAGCGTGGTTTCACCTCACACCCATGGTCTCACAGTGTGCCGGCCCAGTCGCCGAGGCAGGAGCAGGCGCACATCGCTTCCAGGGAGGGGGGCGCGCTTCTCTCCACGCCCCACCCCACCCCTAGCATGTGGTGAAGCCTCTGGGGGGGTCGGGACCCCCCCCCCTAGCATGTGGTGAAGCCTCTGGGGGGGTCGGACCCCCCCCCCAGGCATGTGGTGGGCACCCCCCAGCAGTTCGTGGGCTAGGAATAGCCGCCAGAGAGCCGATTTTGCCCCAAAGTTGTGAAATCGTGGCTGAAAGTCCAATATCTTGGAGAATCTGACCAGTCCCAAGGCTCATGTAGCTCCAAAGGATGATCTTCCCCTCGAAAATGCTGCGAAATGAGGTGTAAAATCAAGGGCCCGGAGGGCCTGACCACGAGTCTCTGGGGGGTCCTCGTCCATGAACCCCCCCCCAGCATGTGGTGGAGGCGCTGGGGGGGTCGGGACCCCCCCCCTAGCATGTGGTGAAGGTGCTGGGGGGGGGTCGGACCCCCCCCCTAGCATGTGGTGTGGAGAGAAGCGCGCCCCCCTCCCTGGAAGCGATGTGCGCCTGCTCCAGCAGTGTCGCTCACACAAGCCGCAGCACAAGTGACTGAGGGCCAGTGAGGGCGAGCCCATCGCTGTCACAGCTGTGGCAGCTGCACAATGGGCTGTGCCAACTGTGCAGAGCGTGTGAGCAGCAGAGGAGCTGCTCTCCAGGCTTCTGTCGCAAAGAGGTGCATGCCACCGAGGGCGCTGTCGAGGTTCGCCGGAGCGCGGCGCAGGTTCAGGGAAGCCGCCACCGACCGACGAGCGCGTTGGACTTTTCACTCCGGACAAAAAACGCGGCACAGCGGACGGTGCGGGACCGTCTGTGGCGAGGTGGGTCGCGTGCCTGAATAGCTGAATTGAATGACAGCTCGCACGAAGGTGGTGGGCGAAAACGGGAGCAGGTACGGCCGCGCGGGGCCACGGCGCGAAAACGGGCGCACGGGTGCCCGGGCGCAAGCGGGCGCGGATTAGGCGCCCGGAGGAGGAGGAGGGGGGGGGGGGGGTCCCTGTCCCAGGGTCGATCTCGGCTTCTGGCAGCGCGCCGAGCCCAAAGCGTGTGTTTAGGGACGCGAGCCCTCTCTGGCTTGGATTTAAGCTGTCGAAAGACACGAATGCCCGTCGCAGCCCCCGGGCGAGTCGTATTCGAGTACAGCGTCAGGCGGGAGTCTCAGTCCCCAAACAGCGTTGCTTCCGAGGCACTTCGGCCTGCGCCTCTCGAATTTGATGGCGAGGCAGAGGAGTCGGCGGATGCCAAAAACACGGAGAGCCCGGGGAGGCCTCGCCGGCCTCGCTCCGGAGCGGGGACGCTGAAGGGCGTGCAGGCTGCTGTGCGCCTCTCCATTAACAGACAATCAGGCGGCTCTTCTGTCGCAGGGTGCATCAGCGAAAATACCGCGGCGTCGCTGGAGGCCGTGCAGGCCGCTGTGGTCCAGGCGACCGCCGTCGCCAAGCGCATCGAAGCTGGCGAGCTGCAAGACGGTGGCCTGCTTGAGCCAAAGGGCACGGTGCTAGAGTCGCGCAAGCGCCGGCAGCGTTTGGCGACCCAGGTGGTTCTCTGGGTCGTGCCACTGCTTTGCAGCGTCTGGTTCGCCGCGGCAGTGTTCTTCCCGCCTGGCGCTCAGGATAGAGTGCCTGCGCTGCTCTGGACGCCTGGAGCGACGGTCTGGATAAACGGCACGGTGACCTGCTGTCCAAAGCCTTCTCTCTGTTCGGAAGGGTGGGCGCAGCTCTGGCTATTGATCATTGCCCGGCTGAGCGCATTTGCCATGTACCCGAGTTTGGTGCTCGTCTTCTTCTCAAAGTGCCATGCAACGCTGCGCTTCCTCTCCCGCACCTTCGTCGCCGAGCTGCTGCCGCTCGCGCTCTTCCACGGCACGCACACCTTTCACGGACTTGTCTTTGCAAGCCTCGCCCTCCTGCACACGGTCGTTCACATCGTGCGGTGGGCGCTACGAGACGAGATCATCCCGTACCTCGGCCGCTGGGCAGGCATGAGCGGGGCCATCGGCACCACACTTATGGTCGCCGTGACGGGCAGCATGCTACTGCCGCGGCTGCAGCGATGGCCAAGGGTCGGCCGGCTCGCGGCTCTGGGCAGGGCGCCCTTTGAGATCCGATTCAATGTGCACTATCTCTTCTTGCCCCTCATCGTCGTCCTGTGCATCCACGCCAGCCGCCTGATGGTCGCCACTCTCGTCGCCGCGTGCGTCTGGGGGGGCGACTACTTGTACCAGGTGGTCTGCCGCACGTTCCGGCTGGACGTCGTCGAGTTCACGCGCCTCGAGGACGGCGGCGTGCAGGTGCTGTGGACCAATCCGCGGGGCTTCGCGCCAAACAGCGGCGAGTACGTGAAGATACAGATCCCGTGGCTTCCGGAACCGTACGGCAGCCAGTGGCACACCCTTCCTTGCTCTCTTCGTTGTCACCTTAGTAGTCGTGCAGTCACCCTTCAGTGTGCTGGTCCTGCAGGCACCCCTTCAGCCTCTACTTGCGCGAGGCCACTGCAAAGGGTGCGCAAACGAGACAGAGCGCCCTCTCCCCACCTCAGCGCGCTGCCGACTCCCGCCCGCTTGTACCACAGGCCTCTCTGTCGCCAACGCAGCCGGCGGCGAGCTGCAGGAGAACCGGCGCGTCTTCTCGGCGGCGGAGGCAAAGGGAGGCTCCGACGTCGTGCCCAGCAAGACCGCCCTCCTGATGATCGAGTTCCAGAACGAGTTCACGAGCGAGGGGGGCAAGCTCCACCTCTCCGTCAAGGATGTGATGGAGAGCCAGGACATGCTCGCCAAGTGCCAGCGCCTCTGCCGCACCGCGCGCACGTGCGGCGCAAAGGTCTTCCATCTCCCAATCACGTTTGAGAAGGCGGACGGCAGCGACAACCCCAACGCGAGGCTGGGCATCCTCAAGGGGTGCCAGGACGGGCAGCTCTTCCGTGCCTTCACCTGGGCGGCGGACTTCCACCCGATGATGACGCCCTCGCCGGGCGACGTCGTGGTCAAGGGCAAGCGCGGCCTCGACTCCTTCCCGGGGACGGACCTCGAGGCGCGGCTGCGGGAGCACGGCATCGAGACGGTGGTGATCGGTGGCCTGCTCACCAATTGCTGCGTCGAGTCGACCATGCGCACCGCTTTCGAGAAGGGGTGCCGAGCCGGGGCTGGGCGCCCGCGCTACTGCTCGTGGTTGCTCATCTGCCGCACGATGCCGGCCGCAGGTACAACACCGTGACTCTCACCGACGGCACGGCGTGCTTTTCGGCAGCGGAGCAGGACGCGGCGACCAACGGCACCTTCAAGGCTCGCGGCTCCTCGCGCGCACTAGACTGGAGAGGGCGTAGCGGACGGGCCGCCTGAACTGGCTCGGCTGCCCCGCCCGCGCGCGCAGATGTTTTCGACGCCCATGAAGTGCGACGACGTTGCCGCGCTGCTCGAGGACCCCGCGAGGCGGGAGAGTGTCATGAACGCGGCGGAGGCCGCCTCGAGGCTGACCGACAGCCTCGCCAGCATCGCCGAGTCGCAGCAGGTGGACGCCGACGGCCAGCACGCGGTCTCCATCGACGAGGACGCGCGGCGAGGGCTCGAAACGTTCGACACCACTCAGATCTTCGTGATGCCCGTCGGAGACTGGACGCGCGCGCTCTCGCAGGCCGTCCTCAAGCGCCGCCAGCGACGCGCGTGCTGGGTGCGCGGGCCCTTCGTCTCGCCCTACGCCGCCGCCAAGGACTTTTCGCAGCTGATCCTCTACGCCTCGGGCATTGGTGTGCTCCGAGCTGCAGCCGAGACTTGCACGCGAGGACTGTCCGACACGCCCGCACGGCACACACGCCCGTAGGCATCACGCCCGCGCTGGGGGTTATGGGGCAGTACGCGGGGTCGACACGGATGAAGTTCCTCGTCTGGTCGACGCGCTCGGCGCCGATGCTCAAGTTCTTCGCGCCGCTGCTCGGGGACGCGCAGCTGGCGATGATCTTCTACACGGGCAGGCCCAGGCTCGGGCAGGCGGAGCTGGACGCGATCACCAGCCAGGGGGGCAACATCATCGTCCAGCAGCACCGGCCCGATCTGCTGCACACGCTCGAGGAGGTGATGCGCGGGTACGAAAAGAGCGCCGCCGGCATCAGCCGGGCCGGGGAGCTCGACCTGCGGCGGCTCGACCACAACACGAGGGCCGCCTGGTGCGCGCTGTACTGTGGGGGCTCGCACGCGATCCGTGACCAGCTCGAGGGTTGCGCAAAGGACCTCGGCATCGGGTTCCAGGCGGAGCTATTTGATTGGTGATTAGTGAGCCCTGAGGCCTGTATCGGCTGAAATTTTAGTTGGGTGAGCAGAGAGCCGAGGCATGCCTACGCGTTGTGAATTAGGTGTCTGTTGTGTGGCGATGAGTAGGTAGCTAAGGAAGGAAGGCAAGGTAAAATTCTCCACACACACAAAGTGGTGGGGCAAGGGGGGGGGGGGGGGGGCGACCCTCGCTGCATGCTCGCATCTCCACAGGCCTACTCCATACCACGCGCACGGCTTTATAGAGCTGTGGCGGGTAGCCTGCTACGCGCGGTGCTAGGGTTCTCCGTTTTGTGCAGCACGCGGGGCGCTCTTTTCGATAGTTATGAGCAGGCGTGCGCGAAGCATTGGACGGTGTGGTTGGCGTCAGGCTCTCTCATTGCGGTCGCGGCACGCTCTTGACTTGGGCAGAGCGCGTTGCGCCCCGACCGCTGTAATCCTCTTGTATTGCGGTATATCCTGTTCTCAACGAATCTCGGAAACTCACAATACAATCCAGCGCATTAGCGCCGACCCTACGTCTGGATTTGAAGGGAGGGAACCGCAGCAGCAGTTGGTGGAATTCCACCGCGCACTGGAGGTGGCAGCCGGGGTGGTGGTGATGGCATTGGGAGTCGACGCCTCGGCAGAGGGACCTGTGCCTCCTTGGCGCAAGCCCTGCTCCTGGTGGCCGCTCGTGCCTGCCGGTGTGCGGCAGCGGCGGCGTCGTTGACGATGGCGAGGAACATGGCGCGCTGCGGGCCTGGCAATCCAATTGACCAATTGATGAATTGGGCGGGCGCCAACAATTCACGCAGGTATTTTATTTTTGCTTGCCGGACGTCATGACGGGGGAGGTAGGGTAGGTCCGGGCCCTCCCGTCGGGGGTTTCCCTCTCTTCACGCCGGAATTTTCACGGCAGAAAAAGAAATTTCCCGCTGAAATCACACGCTGTCAACCCTCCCTAAATGAGCAGGAGAACTAGGAGAGCGCAACCAGTAGGAGGCCCGCGCCTGCCCCCGTGCCGCCGGGTGCAACCCGTCCTATACGAGAGAGGAATCCCTGGGACGACCCTGTCGTGTGGGTGAACCCTGCCCAGCCCCCCTCCGTGTCGCGATGCGCTCCCCCACTCCCGTTCCCCTGTGTCCCTGATCGTCCTTCCAAGATCCTGCTCGTGCAGCTCTCGACACAAGCACAAGGTGGCCGTCAACGCGCGGGATTGGACCGAGCTGCGCGCCGCTCTCGACACAGAGAGCGCCCTCCTCGGGCAAGGGGCCAAGGTAGGCCACTTTGCGGTCATGCTGCGACGTCTGAGTGAGATCCCGCAAGCGCAGGACAAGTTCTGGCGCTACATGGAGCTCGATCCTGAACATCCAGAACGAGCTCTACTTCCGCTCGCCCGAGTACAAGCTCACCTCCCACATCCTCAAGACCGGCACGACGGCCTTCCCCACCCAGATGGCCGAGTCTGACGTTACGGACAGTTGGTCGCTCACGCCCTAGGTGGGGACCTTTGTCCTCCTCCCATCCCTCGAGCCTCGTTTGGTTTGTCTGTTTTCTTTCTTTCTTTTACCCTCCCTAAATGGGTGATCTGGTGCTTGTCGGGCTTGAGAGTGGCCTGCCATGTCACAGGAAGGACTGTGGTTGGTTGCAGGAGAGTACCACCAACCATCACTTTTTTGTTAAGGTTCTTCGGGCCAGTTTGGGGGGGCAAACCCTGCCCGCCCCCTAGAACCCCAGGTAAGGCCCAGGTGTGGCCTAGGGCATCAGAAGGGACCAAGAGGAGTCCAGTCTGAGCCATAGAGCCCATGTCTTTGCCCACGAAGGTCGCGTTCAAACGCCCGGAACGGACGTTACAGTGGTGTCCGGCCGGCGCGATCACCGAGCTGTGACGCTCAGGGAAGCCGGTTGAGGTGCTGGTTTCTTTGCCCAGGGCTGGCCTTCCCCCCAGGCTGGATCAGCTGAGCAAGGTTTGGGGAGAATCCCCCATTCAGATCTTCAGATATTTTGACGGATGACCGAAAATGGGCAAAAACGGGGTGATTTTGGTGTGGCGAGGGCCGAGGCGGTCGAAGACAGTTTTTTTCTTTTTAGCGGTTATGTGCTGTGCCGCCCGAGGATTAATAATTAATAATTATTACCCGATTATTAATAATGTGTGTGTGTGTGTGTGTGTGTGTGTGTGTGTGTGTGTGTGTGTGTGTGTGTTTGCCCGATGGCAGGGAAGGGCAAGGCAGCGGCGAGCGGCAGGTGGCGTCGGTGACGCAGTCAGGACACGATGGTGAAGCCCACAGCGCAGGAGCCCCGCAGCAGCGCCGACCGCGGCTCCGCGCCGCGTCGGCGGCGGTCTAAGCGAGGCAGCCTGCACTCCACAACCTCCTTGGCATTCCCCCGACGAGCGGCGCGCTATGCGGGCCCGTCGCGGGCGCGGGCGGCGAGCCGACGTGCGTGTCGTAGTCGTAGGCAGCGCTGTCGAAGCGAGGGCCGAGGCGGTCGGCGCAGGCCCCCGGACGCGGTCGCAGCGAGAGAAGCGAGACAGAAGATGCTGTTGGAAGGGTGGGGAGCAGCCTGCCGTCGAGCGGCGCGCCGAGCAAGCCCGCTGCCGCGGCCCGATCGGCAGCGCTTGCACTTGGAGCACTTGGAGTGCAGTCAGTAACCGCACATCAGGGCCGGGGAGCTCGGTTTTTTTCTTTTTAGCGGCCCTGCGATTTTGCTCCGCCGCTCGGGCGCGGAAATCTCCCCGCTGAGGTTTTGATCTCGTGCTGCCATGGACTTGTCCGACCTGGCTCAGCTATCCGCTGCCGGCCACCCGCTCCCTGGCGTGGCGATGGCGCCTCCCGGTGACCCGTCTCTCCACGTGCCGGTGCCGGTGCCGCTGCCCTTCCCGCTCGGCGAGGAGGAGGCGTCTCCGCGGCGCAGCGCGGCAGCGCATCTCCGGCTGGTCGATGCGTTGCAGCAGCACCACCTCGCTGACGACCTAGAGCCGCCCAGTGAGGTGCGATCACAGCCTGGCTCTCTCTTCTCACGCGACGCGATCAATTGAGAACGCACGCGCACGCACAGCGCAGCCCGTCTGCGTCTCAGTCAGCGAGCTGGCCCGCCGACCTGCTCGCGCACTGGTTCGAGCACGGCGGCCGCCTCCTTCCCCACGAGCGAGCGGCCGCGCAGTTCAACGCGCTGGCCGGATCGGTAGGGTGCGCCTCTCGGCAGCCTCTCGGCTGCACCTCGGCTGCACCTCGGCTGCACCTCGGCTGCATCTCGGCTGCACCTCGGCTGCATCTGGCTGCACCTCGGCTGCCTCTCGGCTGCCTCTCGGCTGCACTTCGGCTGCACCTCGGCTGCATCTCGCCTGCTTGGCGGGGAGCGCCGCGGCCGGCCTGCTGCGGACGCGAGGCCTGCTGCTGGCACACGCGACTAACTCAGCGCTGGCCTCTCGCTGCCGTGTGTAGCATGGCTCACGAGTCAGACGCTGCCTCTCCCTCGCCCCGCCACCTCGCACCTCGCACGGCCGCCAGGTGGCAGCGGCGCGGCTTCTCGCTCGAAGACGTGCACGCGACGCTGCCGGTCCGGCTGGCGGCGGCGCCTCGCCTCGGCAACGGTGCCGACGGCTGGAGCGAGGAGGGCAGAGGGGAGGGCGGCGGAGGCGGGCGGCGAGGGGAGGGCGGTGGGGTGGTTGTCGGCGGCGTCCGGATCGGCGGCTCCCCCCGGGCATCGCCCTGCGGCGGGTTGAGTTGCGGGGGGCTCCTCGGCGCCATCGCGGCGGGGGCGGGCGAGCCGCTCGACTCGCTGGCCACTCAGTTCGGCGAGCGGGGCTGGGTGGCTGTGCGGCTCGGCATCGGCGCCGACGTGTGGAGGCAGGTGCTCGCTGCCGGCAAAGAGCTCACCGACCGTCTCACGCCGACCACCCTCGCCATACCTCTCGCGCTGAGCTTCGCCGCAGCACCCCCAGCCCCCGACTCGTCGCCCCGAGGTGTGCGACGAGGGGCGGCGCGCCTACCCGCACATGAGGCCGGGCGAGCTCGTCGGAGGCAACGGCGCGCGCGCAAACAGCGGCGAGTCCCCCTCGGGAGCGGCGCGGGGCGACCGGTTCATCTTCTCGCACGAGCTCGACGCCGTGCCCCTCCCCGCCGTCCACGCCGTCGTCACCGCCGTCGGCCTCGTCGCCGGCGCGCTCGCCGCGCCGCTCGCCGCGCGCGCGAAGCTCCGGCTGCTGCAGCGGACGCAGTCGCTCTTCGCGTGCTTCCCTGGCGGCGGCGCGAGGTGCGGCGCAGAGGGGAGCGAGCGAGCGAGTGAGAGAGGGAGGGGGTGACTCCGCCACACCGTGCTGCCCGCTCACATGGTACACACCCTTCCCCCTCTCCCGCCCCTCTGCCAGGTACGGGCCCCACTTCGACGGCGGCGGCACCGACGGGCGACGGATGACGGCGATCGCGTACGCCAATTGCGGGTGGCGGCCGGAGCACGGCGGCGCCTTGGAGTTGCTAGAGGAGGAGGCCGAGGGCGGCGAGTGCTGGCGCGCCATCCCGCCCGCCGCCGACACGCTGCTGCTCTTCCGGTCAGACCGCATGTTGCACAAGGTGGCGCCCAGCCACAGCACGCGCTTCGCGCTCACGACGTTCTTCTACGCGCATGTGCTGTGAGTGCCACAGTGAGGCAGCTGTGAGGCGTCGACCCGAGAGATATCAATTTATCGTGTTTTTCCCCGCGGGGAGCGCGGGGAGAGGGGTTGCTCCTCCGCTTATTGAGAGCGAGTTTTTGAGAAAGAGAGTGAGACGACTGACGACCCCACCAGGCGCAACGTCACACCACTTACATGTAAACCACACACCCCACGCAGCTCTCAAGGGAGCGAGAGAGAGACGGTTGACGGCGAGACCGGGAGAGTGGGGAGAGAGGGCGCGAGAGTGGAGAGAGCGAGAGCGAGAGCGAGAGCGAGAGCGAGCGAGAGAGAGAGAGAGAGAGAGAGAGAGAGAGAGAGAGAGAGAGAGAGAAGGTGTGCTAGTGGTCGATGCGCGCGCGTCAAACCCCGCCCCGGGTTACGATCCGACCTGGCGGGTGTGGGTGGGTGTCGGTCGACCTGTGGCTGTGCATGCTGATGTAAGAAGAGTGTGCACGAACCGGGCGGAGGGGGGCATCTCTGTCGAGCGCCGCTGAGCCATGTTTTAGGTTCGGACAAGCAAGCCGGAAGCTTCCCTCTTTCAGAGTCCAATCAGCCCATAAGTCCGGTGGTCGGCATGCAGCCCGTGGGGCAGGACACCTACAAGAGAACGCTCCTCGCTCAGGGCCCTGCCTCGCGTCATCTCTGCCCTCGACCCGGGTGGGGGCGCGGACCGGTTGCGCCGCAAAGAGGATCGAGCGGCGGCCACCCACGACCGGGAGAGAGTCGGGCTCGCAACCGTCGGGGCAGTTCGTGAACGGGATGAATGTACTTGTGCACATCTCGCCGCACCTGCCGGTTGTGTGTTCGCCTTGCTCGTTGTCCCAGGAGCAGCACGACTGCCCCTTCGGGCAGGCTTCTGCACTGGTGCACGTCACCGGGACGTCCGTTGTGATGAAACCATCGCGCGTGGTCCCCGCGCCATCAGCAACGTTTTGCGAGCAGCACTCGTCACTGCAGGTGTATTTGGATTTATCCGCCCTCATCTCATCTGTCGGCGTCAAGCATACCGAGGCTGCCAGATCCAGGGTGGCGAGCGCGAGCACGGCGTGGAGGCCGCGCATTCTCTTCGGGCCGCAGGTGAGGGCGTAGGGCGGGCGGTGCCGGATTTTGACAACTGAAAGCAAGCGCTCGGCCAAGCGTTACGGCCGTTACGGAAAATACCGAGCGGCTGACTAAACCTTCTTCGTGGCTTTTTGGTTTTGAAAGTTCCTGCTGCTGGCACTCGTGTGAGGTAGCGGGGGGGCCACGACTACGTTTACGAAAACATAAGTAGTCCCGCGAGGTGTGAATTTGGCCGCCCCAGTAGCCCCCTTTTAGCACAGGCGGACTTTTTCGTGGCAAAACTCGTCAATCGCTTTGCGGCGGCAAAGCAGATTTTCACGGGCGTTCGAAGTGCTGGCTCAAACCCGTCATGCTTTGCTTCGGTCTCGACTTGAGTGCCGCTCGACTGGCCGATGAAGAGCGACCCGTACGACGCGCACTTGTCGTCCTCCCTCCTCATGGCATATGCAGACAGCGCTCATTACTGGCCAGCCGGCCGAGCGCGATGGCGGCGTTCTTCATTGTCTGGCCCTCGCCACGGTGTGCTAGGTCGAGCAGTGGCGGAACCACCGGTTGCACGGCGAGAACCTGCGGCAGAGGCCACATGTTGATAGCAGACGGGTGGCTCTGGGCTGCGGACAGGCGCGTGCGCACGCGCACCGCCAGGCAGCGAGGCTCGGTGGCGCACTCGGCGATACAAAGCGCAGCGTTGCCGTGCGAAGCGGCGTGGTCTGGAGCGCGAAGCAGTGTCGACAGCAGAGGGAGCACGCCTGTGTCGATTGAGCTCCGGTGAGGCAACTACTGGACCATCACTTTCGGCCGGCGTGGAAAGGGCGGCGTTCCGGCTGCGCATAGAGCGGCCGGCCCGCCGGCGTGGCGCGAGCAAGCCGTGAGGAGGCGCACGCTGTTGCCCACAAAGTCGCCGCTGTCCTCCTCGCCCTCCGACACCACAACCTCAGACGCCTCATTCGGGACCCCTCCGGCTGATGCTGCGGCCGGCGCTCCCAGTTCCGTGTTGTCGAGGCTGCTCTTGAGGAACTGAGCGAGCATGGCCACGGGCGGGCTGCCCCCGTCTAGCAGCATCTCGACGATGGCGGTGCAGCGTTGAGCGCCCTTGGCGAGCACCGCGATCAGCCTGCTAAGTAGCGGGCCCGGGCGAGACAGCACAGAGTCCAGCGAAGCAGCGAACCTCTCGTCGTATTGCGAACCCCTCTGCCTCCTCAACGACCGAACGAGCGATCGCCACTTAGCGCGAGTCTGCAGCGAGTGCCAGGTGCCATCACCACAGTGCTGACTGGAGCCCCGCCACGTGCGCCGCACTTGGAGCACTTGGAGTGCAGTTGTGTCACAAGTTGGCAGCCTCACGGTTAGCCGGACGCTCGGGATCGGGTTACGGGCTAGAGAGCCCTAGCCCCGGGGGTGCGCGGTCGCAGGGCCATAACACGTCTCCGAGGGATGGTTCCGTGTACCGGGTTGCCCCTTAACTGCAGAACGCACCCTCTTCCTCGACCGTGGGGGGGTGCGCGTTCGCAGGGCCATAACACGGGTCTCCGAGGGTTAGTTCTGCGCTCCGGGGTTCCCCCAGCGGCGGAATTTTTCCCTCGCGCTGTGGGTCCCCCTAGCTGCGGAACGCCCCCTCTACTCGGAGCTAAAGAATACTCTCCGAGGGTTGGACCCGCGTACCAGGTTTCCCCTTAACTGCAAGGACGCCCCCTCTACTCGGAGCTAGCGATACGTGACACGGGAATACGTACCGCCCCCACGCAGTACCTACACTACTGGACGAGAATACAATAACACGCAGCTGCGAGACGCCTTACTCGAAGAGAATACGAGAATACGCAGCTGCGAGGCACCGCGTTCGCAATGAAGTCGCCTCGGGGGAGGCGGTGAAGGAGAGGATGGCGAGGGAGGTGACGGGAAAGGCGGCGGCAGGGGGGAAGGAGGAGGAGGTGGGAGGGGGGACGGCAAGGGAGGCGGCGGCGTCGGAGGGGGGGTGGGGGCGAGGGAGAGGGCGGTAGGGGAGGCGGCAATGAGAAGGAGTCGGCGAGGGCGGAGGCGGTGATCCGGTGATAGAAAGGGCGGCGGGGAAGGAGGCGGCGGGGGAGGCGGCGGCGGCGGAGGGGAGAAGGGGGGAAGGCGGTGGAGAAGGAGGCGGTGGGGTGGGAGGCCGTGGCGTGGGTGGGGGTGGGGGTGGGGGCGAGGGGCGGGAGGTACACTTGGAGCACTTGGAGTGCAGTTAGTAGCCTCACATCCAGGGCCGGGGAGCTGAGAAGCGCACCCAGCGGGCCGGATGATCGGGATCGGGCTACGGGCTAGAGAGCCCTGACCCCTAGCTAGGGGGGGTGCGCGTTCGCAGGGAAAGCGAAAGGGCCGTAAAGTAAACACGGGTCTCCGAGGGTTGGTCTGCGCTTTGGGTTTCCCCTAGCTGCGGAGCGCCCCCTCTACTCGGAGCTACATAATGGACACCAGACACACGCACACGACGTAAATCCCTACTCGACGTCACCCCTCAGGCCTCTGGGGCTCTCCTATCCTCCCGGTCCTCCCCCCGGCTCGCTTTCCGCTGGTCGGGCAGCAGTTGCGGAGCCCGCCGTCCCCTCTTATGCCTCTTCGGCCGCGGCCCCGCCACCGCCTCGTCTTCTCTGTCCGATTCTGTCGCCACCACCGACGGTGATCCCATGCCCGACTCCTCGGGCGAGGGCAGCGGCATTGGATCGCTACGCCGCCCCTCCCCGGGGAGTGGGGCCAGCTCACTTTGATCGAGGACTCGCGCCCGCCCCCGCGGTCTCCCTATCGTCCTCGGCTCGTCCGTACGTCCCGACTCTACTCGCAAAGGCCGCGCCAGCTCATCTCTCACCCTCTCCGCTCCAGCTTTGGGGGCGGAGGCGCCACAGCTCCGGGTCCTTGGAGCACTTGGAGTGCAGTCATCAACCTCACATCCAGGGCCGGGGAGCTGAGAAGCGCACCCAGCGAGCCGGATGATCGGCATCGGGCTACGGGCTAGAGAGCCCTGACCCCTAGCTAGGGGCGGTGCGCATTGGCTTTATTTTTTCTCGACATCGCGGCTACGCGGCGGGCCTCCGCGCCAGCGTGCTGGCGCAGCGGCAGAGCAATTATGTCTGTCGACAAGGTCAAATGCCGCGCGCTTCGTGCCGTCATCCAGCAACCTGAAACCTCCAACGCCGAGCTTCAGAGGTTTCTGGATCAAGCCGCGGCATCTCTGAATAATGCGAGTGATGAAGAAATCATGAAGCACGCTGCCGAATTGTTCTTCGACAAGCAGAACAGCTCTGGTAGAGCCTCGTCATCAGCGGCGGCGTCATCAGCGGCGTCATGCCGCCGCCGCCGCCGCTCCACCCGGTGCCCGTGTGTGGTGAGAGTTGCTTTGTGTATGTGTATGTCGTATGTGTGTGGACTTATGTCACACTTGAGCCTCTATGTATGATTAGTAGACCGGTACTCGCGGGTTTGGATGGTAGCGGGGGCCACGCGGGAGCCTCAACCCTCATCCCTCAACCCCTCTGGCCGACCGGCAGGCTGGTTGCTGACTTTCAGCCATCGATCGGCTCGCTCGGCACTTCGCGGCAGCGCTCCTAGCCGGCCTGGCTTGCTACAGCTGGCAGGCGGAGCCATTTGTCTGGCCGAGCCCTGCCTCGAGTGAACACGTTGCCAGCCTGGCAGACCGGCTCTCCGCCGAGAGCCCTGCTGCCGAGGAGTCAGCTGCTGCCGCGTGCGACGCGGTCCGGCCGCTCCTGGGCGGCCTGTCGTGCCGCAGTTTCCTCTCCGACCACTGGGAGGTTGCGCCGCTGCTTTCCCGGCCGGGTGCGGCATGGGCACGAGCTCTCTTCTCGCTGCGCGACGTCGAGCGGATGGCCCGCCTGTGGCCGCTGCGATTTCTTCGCAACCACGGGACTGCCGTGGTCCACACGCCGGGCT